TCACGACTTGCACCAACTTGTCACTGACATAACGGAGATCATCGACGCGCTCAAGTCAATGAGTGTGCCAGTCCACTCATGGAATTACGTCCTTCAACACCTCACCCTAAAGCGCCTGGACGCGTCACTGCGAGTCATGGGAGGTGAAACGCAGCTCATCCATGGAACCTCTCACCTTCGATCAGCTCATTGAATTCATTAAAGGGCGTGCCAAGGCACTCGAAGTAGTTCAGACCACCGGGGGCACTTCATCATCTGTTGGGTCATCGAGATCAGTGCCACGAACATTGACTCAACAACCGAGAGCATCTCATCAGGCTTCAAGGGCACCGCTACCTACCCAATATCCATGTGACCATTGTGGTGGTCAGCATTAGATCGTATCCTGCCCAAACAAGGTTGTAACGAAACAACGATTGTGCTACAACTGCCTTGGGCACCACAACTTAACGTCATGTGCCAGCTCAAGAACATGCAAAACATGTGGTGCACGGCACCACACGATGATTCATCTACCTTCCAACAGACCAACTCAACCACAGCCGCCCACGTCTAGCACAACTAAGAGCGACTCATCTCAAAATCGACCAGCTCCAGCTCACAATTGAAACAATGAAGTGCCATTTCGCCAGAACATATCACCGCACACCACAACAGTCCTACTCGCAACCGCTCAAGCAACACTCATTACATCACTGACCACTCACCCAGTCCGACTACTCATAGATCCTGGATCAGAACTCACATTCGTCTCAAATCACCTTGTCAAGACTTGTGCATTGACTCGGCAGCACTCATCAATAACAATCATTGGAATAGGAGGATCACAGTCTACTCAAACAAGGGGTGTCACCACACTTCAGCTCAAATCAACCCATTCCTTACAATCTGCTAGTGTCAATGCTCACATTCTCAACAAGTTGACGAACACACTGCCGTCATTCCACGTGGGACACCAAGAGTGGCCACATCTATCATCATTGCAGCTGGCCGATCCACATTTCCTAACTCCAAGGCCCATTGACGTCATCATCGGGGCAGATTCTTATGCACAGATCATCAAACCAGACATGATACAGCATGATAGCTCATCACCCATGGCTCAACTTACAATCTTTGGTTGGGTAGTTCTTGGTCCAATCATAAACAATCACTCATCATTGCACTACACTCACCACATCACCAGTGAATCAGCGCACCAAGAGCTACACGATTTACTCACCAAGTTCTGGGTTCAGGAAGAAGTACATGCAGCTACTGAGCCTCAACTGACCCCAGAAGAGCAGGCATGCGAAGATCATTTTACATCAACACATTTACGAGACGAATGTGGCAGATACACAGTACGAATTCCTCTCAAGTCTTCACCGAATATCTTAGGAGATTCGGAGCTCACAGCACGACGATGTTTACGACGACTCATGAAAAGACTCAATACTGACGACTCACACAGACTATTGTACAACTCATTCATGAAGGAGTATGAAGAAATGGGTCACATGAGACGTGTCCCACATACACAAGATGAAACCTTACAACAATTTGAGCCTGTTACTAACGATCGGTTGAACGAGGTGACCTTGGCACATGATGCTTCGGCATCAGGAGGGTTGAGGGTCTCTGGAGACCGGTCAGAGGTGCGAGCTCAAACTCAATTTCCATACTACCTTCCTCATCATGGAGTAATAAAACAAGATCGAGTCAATAGCAAGTTAAGAGTCGTGTTCAACGGATCGAGCCCAACAACATCAGGGATTTCGATCAATGACATCCAGTACCTAGGTGCGAAAAACCAACGAGACATCCTTGATGTATTGCTGTGGATTCGACAACACAAGTACATATTCACCACAGACATCACCAAGATGTATCGTCAAATCAAAGTTCATCAAGACGACTGGGATATGCAAAGAATCATGTGGGTCGATGATCAGCTCAACGAGGTCCCATACCAACTGACTACAGTGACGTATGGAACCAGATCAGCGCCGTTTCTGGCAATTAGAACAGTACTACAATTAGTCGAAGATGAAGGTCATCACTTCCCACTCGCCATTGAACCTCTCACCAAGGGTAGATATGTCGATGACATTTTTGGAGGTTCCGATCAACTCAGCGAGCTCATCGATATATCACGACAAGTAACCCAGCTCTGCATGGCGGGCGGGTTTCCATTAGCGAAATGGCACAGCAACAGCAACCAATTTACTCAACGCACTGCTCAACAGTCTCCAATCAAGGAGGCGTATTTATTCGAAGATAGCAGCACAAAACTCTTAGGCCTGTCATGGATACCTTATTCCGATACGTTCAAGCTTACTCATACGCCACCATGCTCAAGTTCCAAGCTCACAAAGAGAATCATCTTGTCGGAAACAGCACAACTCTACGATCCACTCGGATTCTTGTCACCATTCATATTGCGAGCAAAGGTATTGCTTCAACAACTCTGGCTAGAAAAACTCAAATGGGACGATCAAGTCTCAGCTCAAATCAAGGCCAAGTGGAACTCAATCCGACAAGAACTTGCCCATGTATCAGAACTCTCTATTCCACGCTGGATTCACATAGTAAAAAACTCGGTCGTGGAACTACATGGGTTCTCAGATGCATCACAATTAGCAATGGCTGCTGCTGTCTATATCAAGGTAAAAAATCCAGGCGATCAACAAAAGACCACGCTCATCTGTGCAAAATCAAAAGTAGCACCACTCAAGAGAATGTCTATACCTAGGCTTGAACTCACTGCAGCTCTGCTCGTAACTAAGCTCATGAAATACGTACAGAATACGTTAGAACTCAATGAAGCACAGACCTTTTTGTGGACAGATTCATCAGTAACGCTCACCTGGATCAAATCACACCCTTCACGCTGGAAAGACTTTGTCAGGAACAGAGTGTCAACCGTTCAAGATTTATCTTCAAACAGCGTATGGAGATTTGTTCCTGGAAAGGAAAATCCAGCCGATTGCGCTTCAAGAGGGCTTAGCATCTCCCAGCTCCAGAAGTATCAACTGTGGTGGACAGGACCACAGTGGCTCATTAGGACCCAGAGCTCTTGGCCAAGTCAGCCAATATATCACGAATCACAGACTCATCTAGAAGAGCGCCATGGACAGTCATTCATTGTGGCAACAACTCACCCTGAATATCATTGGGAGATGATATACAGATTTTCATCACTCATCAGACTGCTCAGAGTAACCGCAATTTGCTTTCGAGTAGCTCAACTCATTAAGAGAATGCCACAATCAACACTCGCAAGTCCGATCACGCCACACGAAACAGATCATTCACGAGTGTTTTGGATCAAAGCAACTCAAGCAGCGTATTTTTCCAGTGAACTCAAGCTCATGGGGTCAAATCAACTACCACCAGCTCATCCTTTCAATCGATTGACTGCCTACACAGACACTCAGGGCATCATTCGTGTTGGAGGGCGTTTGGAACGCTCACAATTGGAACTTGAGACAATTCATCCAGCAATACTGCCTCGGCAATCAAAATTCACCTCACTCATCATAGCAGATGCACATCAGAGAACATTACATGGTGGCACTCAATCAACAATGAACCACATACGACAATCCTACTGGATCATTGGTGGTAGAGCTCCAGTCTGATCGCACATACTCCGCTGCATCAAATGTGCTCGGCAACGTGGCGTACGAGCACAACAGTTAATGAGTCAATTACCACCCACGCGAGTCACACCATCCCGACCATTATTCACCTCTTGCGTGGATTACGCTGGTCCACTAACCATGAAGACCTGGAAGGGAAGAGGCGCCAAAAAACAAAAGGAGTGGTTGTGCATATTTGTGTGCTTTGTCACTTCCGCAGTGCATCTGGAAGCGGTAAGTGACTATACTACTGACTCATTTCTCGATTACTACCCACTATTGACTCAATAAAGTAATCACAAAGCCAACATGTGTACATTTATTTGCCACACTGCTGTCACCAGAAAGTCAACATTTTTGAGTTGATGACAACAGAGTGATTCATAGTTCGAAACCAAAAATGTTGCGTAATGCTCGGTGTCTAGTTGTTAATTGTAGGAGTTTAGTGGACTGTATGTGAGTGGCATTTGCAGGGAACGAGCCAGAATTGAAGCGAATTTCTGGTGACAGCAGTGTGGCAAATAAATGTACACATGTTGGCTTTGTGATTACTTTATTGAGTCAATAGTGGGTAAAACAATGAATGAGCCAGCATTCAAAGTGTACAATGAACCAATGAGTTTAATATTTCTGACATGAAGAATCAATGTGTAACCTATGGCTGGTGAATCTGACAGTTAGTGACCAACTTAATTGAGATTTATGGAAACAATGGTTGAGCAGGCTTGAGAATTTGAATACAATAAAAATGAGTTGACGTACACTGAGTAAATCGTGTGAGTTAGGCCATGTGATTCTGTTTGATTAAGTCAAATGTAGAGTACTGTTCATTAGGAACTGAATGGCCACACTATGAGTGGTTCTATGGCAAGATAGTCTACGTGTAAATGAGACTTGAGTGTTTACCGTGCGGATGAGTAACCACTGCGATGATATGTGCAACGAGGTGGTCGTAAATCACCTCGCGGTCGCAGGTGGTTCGACAATGGCCGATCAGATGATGATAATTCTGCGTAGCTGGTCTGGTGGTGATTAGAGCTACGGGGTTGTAGTGAGTTGTGATTGTCGAGTGGGTGGTCCGTCACGGTATTCACGATTTATACGAACAGTGAAGAGTTGTGCACAAGAGTCACACTAAGAAAACACCTGTTGAGTCGTGCGCGATGCGGTTGATACCACGATCCGAACAAGAGTGATGCGAGTGAGACTTGTTTCCGCCAGCTTGTAAGGAAGACGGATGTGACGTATCACTGTTGATGATTGCAATTGGTGCGTTCGCTAAGCGACACGCACGCCGCGGGCCGCGATTGGCTCGTGGTGAGCGACGCGCACGCCACACGCAGCTATCGGCGCGTGGTGTGTGAATCTGCGGTGATGATGCCAGCCATTACCGATGCATCGTTCATGGCTGATCGGCTGTTGCATGGCGGCTCGTTGATGATCATTGGAAAGTGCTGCCCCCGTCAATTGATTTGTCTTAATATTGAACAAATGTGTACTTCAAAAGTAGACGAAAATCATGTCAATATTCTTAAAAAGTATGAATTTTCAAAACTGTTCATTAATGAATTATATTTAAACAAGTATAAGAATTTGCAAAAACATTTACAAGAAATAGAAGAACAGAAGGTGATGAGTTTAAAAAAAAAGGAAAATGAGAGAAAAAGTAAGGAAGAAGATGCAGAGAATCAACAATCAGATGCACGCATAAGTTCTATAAGTGAAACCGAAGAAGAGTCCAAGTACAATGCAATTACAAGGAATGGAAAACAACAAAGAAGTGATTATTTTGAAGAAGAGGTAACCTTATTATCATCAGATACAGAAAGTAATTCTGAAGGATCCATTTTAGAAGTACCAATTCCACCAAAACCACAACCACCAGTTATAAATTTACAAGATTCTGACGAAGGTGCAAGTACATCAAGTAGTCATACTGATACGGATACTGACTGCTTATTTAGAATTGAGGGTAAAAATAATTCGACAAAAATGAATGAAAAAACATTACATACATGTATAGGAAAAGCTACCCATATTGACAATAGACTAATAAATCATACGACAGAAGATATAGTGTTAAATTGCACTGACATTCAAAAGGGTTTATCTAGCATAAAAGAAATAAAAGAAATCAGTAAACAGGTGCAAAACAAATCAATAGAATCTAATAACGAAGATCAGAATTCTTCTGTAAGAAAGACTAAGAAATCATTATCTACTAGTGAAAAGAATAACATACCTGAGTATCAATTGCCATTAGAACCTATTAACAATAGCAATATTGTATATGAAAGAGATAAACAAAAATTAATATCTTCCATGGAAGATGTAACTAATTTTGAAACTTGTAATCAAGCAAGTTCAAGTAGAAAAAGGCAAAGAGAAAATGATAATGAGGCTCCTGTTGCTACAAAACAGAAAAAACACTCATACACTGAAAATATATGTTCTGAAGTAAATCCTGATCAACATGTGGTCAAGGGTAAAATTAATCCAGATTCATGGGAAGAATATTTCTTTCGTCCTATGCCTGATAATCTTAAAAAGTTTTATAATGAATCAAGAGGTCAGGAAAATTTCAGTGTTCAGGAAGCACAAAGTAAAATGTCAAGTAAGTTTTTACAAATTTTTTTATATTGTTCCTTATAAGGGGACCTTATGGTTGGCATCTCAAGTATTTTGTTAAAATCTTGAAAGGATGAATGTGCAGAAATATGTCATTCTAATAATTGAAAAATGCTTCATAATTTGAGGCGTTCAGAATTTGTTAAAGTATATTATTTGGTGCTCTGCATATAAAAGAATAACTAATTATAATGCTGTGTGGTAAAAGGTAATCCAGATTCATTTTTGTAAAGACTGACCATAAGATTGCTTTATTGGATTTAAATTATATAAATTTAAGTACTTTATATACTCTGAATCAATTATAGAGGATCCACGACTTTGGGCTATTTTAGATGAAGACCTGATGCCAAATCTGTCAAGGCAAAAATGCTTTTGGAATGTCAAGTGTAATAATTGTAACCAAGCAGGCCATCAATCGTATAATTGTTCAGAACCTTATAAACCTCTCCGTTGTCGCATGTGCGGTACACAAGGACACACTGAAACACGATGTCCTCAGAAAATGTGCCTCACGGTTCGAATATATTTCATAAGAAATATACTATATTATAATCCTATAATAACATTTTAATCCTTTACAGTGTGGTAAAAAGCAAGGTACATTTAGAAAAACTTGTGATTCTTGTCGTACATTGTATTGTGGAATGTGCAGAGCTGTAGGACACAAATCAACAGAGTGTCCTGATCACTGGAGAAAATTCCATCAAACAGTTAGGTTATTTCTTACTTGAAAATATAAATGGTTGTAATAAAAATGTTGAAATCTTTCATAATTATTTCTTGTTTCAGACACGTAGTACTGACATAAACATCCCAGAAAATTTATCTGAAGTTATGAAACCTGCAGATCTGCTTTATTGTTGTAATTGTACCAAGCGCGGACACGATTTCTCTACTTGTCATGAATACCGTTGGTCCCAACACTTTCCAACGCCTGTATATGTATCGAACTATAGGAATGAATCAAGAAACGTAGGCTCTATGAACATGAACATTGGAAGTGCCGACATTATACCATTAACTAAGAGAACAAAAACTAAAAATCAGCATCTTAAGAATGTGACATTTTACCAAGGACTAGACAATCTAAAGGGTTGCCCCGTTTTATATTCATATGGTACTTTTCATACAAACAAACCAGACGGCGAAGAAATCAAAAGAAGACTTTCACTTGATGTAGCACGTCGAGTGGAATATTTCTTGAAAGACAATATTGCTCCGCCTTTCTTTGAATCATTAATGGAAATAGTTAAATTTGAATTAATGATATTTCGAATTTCACAAAAAGTGTTACTAATAAGAATTCGATCAACATCTGGTATTGCAATGCACATATATGAAATTTTTATTTTTTGGCTGAAACTGGAAAATGAAGACAAGCATCTAAACTTCCACATAAATTTACCACGCAATTATAATAAACTGGTCACCTTCTTGAATACAGAGTCTAGGAGATGGAAACAGGATGCTCTCCGACATGACCCTTACACTATTTATGATCAGATAGAAAAGTTAGAAAGGTCAAGGATTCACGATGGTGATCCTGCTATGTTAAATGAAACTGCAGAAAAAATATTAAATCTACGAACTAAATTACTAAAAATTTATCATATGAGGCCAAAGATATCCTATTTGGTACAAAACATACGAGCACATATAAAAAGACTAAGAAAAAATAGAAACAAGATGCAAACTCCAACGGCGGAAATTGATTTGGAAAATTACATGGGAATTATTTGTCTATACAATCAAATCTGTATACCTCGTACATTAACAGAAGAAGAATTAACTACTTTTCTCCAAAAATTTTACAAGGCACCAAAAAAAAAGAAAACCAGAGAAGAAAGAATTAAGAAACAAAAAACTCAATCGGAATCTTATCCGTACGTGAAGTTCGTAAACAAATTACAAAGTAATAGTAAGTCAAAAGCGGTACAGCTACAGAGAAATACTAATTTAATTGATACTGCAACTTTGTCAAAAGTTACTTCGAAACAAAGCGAGGAAACGCCTATTGTGACGTCAACTGAAATGTCTTCAACTAGTAATATTCAACTCAATGATAATGTTAGAAAATCTAATACAGGACCTGTTGTAAGCGAAGAATGTAATATCGAAGAAGTTACTATCGCGGCAATCACTCCTGTTTATCCTACAACACTTATACAAATACCATGTAGTGAAGATACAAGTAATGATAAAGTGAAAGAGACTGTAGAACAAGTTCAACAAGATGTTGTCTTATCTAATGTAATCGCACCATCTCTTGAGAAACCTTCGTGCTCGTATAGAATATCACAGCAGCTTAATAATAATGACCAGTTAAAGTGTGTGCCTTCTACAGAAAAGAAAAATTCTGAGCATACCACACAGGAAGATACAGGAACAATGAAAAGTAATAATAATATAACAGCAACCAACTTACAGCAAGAAAATACAATCAATCTTGCAGTAAATGTTGCGACAAAGAAAAAGAAGAAAAAGGCAAAAATGGCAAAACCACATGTAGAAAATAATTCACAAGTTAAGGAAAATGAAATGACTAACGTGGATGTATCTATAGAAAATAAGGCACAGAAGGTAATAACTGAAGCCCTTGAATTCAATTCGCCATACATGAACAAAGCTGTGGAAGAAATACACAAACGAATAAGTGACAGAAACATTAAACAAGAGCACATAGATGTGCTGCAAAGACTAATAAATTTAGAAAAAGAGCACCGGCAATACGTGAGTTCATTCTGTAATTATTTGAAATGAATCATTTTCTTTTCGAACAAAATGCCTACTATACTTTAATTCTAAAGAAAATTTCTGTTAACACCTTCGATATTTTAGACTTACTCTGATTTTACTTACAAAATCTTTGTACAAAGACAGGATAGAAAATTAGGAAAAAAAATTTTGAAATGCCGTTGAAACTATGTACTAAATCATACATAGAATTTAGAATTACAGTACGAGTTATGAGAAACAACAACCGAAATACTTCTAATGAATATGCAAAATAATAAAAGAATGAGCAAGATTAAGATAATTCTATATGTAACAACTGTACACATCATACGTTAGACTCAAACACTGTCTGGACTTCAAGTACTTTCAAATCATCTCTAATATACAATTACTATCTATATATGTATGTAATTTTATTTTAAAAAGAAAGGTCTGTTGACTTCGACTTAGAGGAGACACAACTTTTAGGGAAAAAATTAGGTCTAATTTTTGTTTTGTACATTTCTTTTATATTTTCAAATTTATGAACATGAGTTGGTCAGTCTTACTCGCCCTTATATTATTGTACTCAAGTTAGAAAATTATTATTATGGCTTAATTTTGAATAGGCTTACTTGAAAGTTTATCTACATAATGAGAGATAATACGATATTCTAAGTATACATAAAAATGTACACTATACCAAATTTTTATGGGTTTCTAGGTAATATTGATATTTCCATCTTGCATTGCAACAATTATTACATATTTTTGTTAACTATAATTTAATAATTTGAAAGGACATTTGTGTTATAAAAAAACGTTTTATAACACATAAAATACCTTTATGTCTATTTTGTGTAAATAAACAAATACAAAAGAATTCTTTTCAAATGAAATGAAACATTTATTACTTATAAATTAATGTTTAGGATATAGTTGTACTGGTGTTTCTGCTAACAATAAGAAACATCTTTTATTGAGAAGACTGTATGAAATTCAGTACAAAACTCATATACAAGTTACATTTAATCTTGTTTCAATTTACTCAACCCTTAAGAGATTTTAAAATTTGCCGTATCTTTCAACATCTTCAAAGTGTATGTTTGAACTATTACAACCATATGTACACACACTATGTCGAACTTCAATATACGTACGATCGACAATTCACTTGTATGAAAATTAGAATGTCAAGAGGAATATGTAGTTTCATTATGCCTTCATCGGTTGTGGTCCTCCCATAGGTGGTGGTGGTCCATTCATAGGTGGCCTCATTGGACCCATAGGTCCCATAGGACCCATCATTGGTCCCATGGGTCCCATAGGGCCCATCATTGGTGGTCTCATACCCATCATTGGAGGCATTGGTCCATGAGGTCCCATCATCATAGGGCCTCCTGGACCCATTGGCCCTCCAGGATGCATTCCTGGAGGTGGCATCATACCTGGTGGACCCTGGGGTGGTACTCCAGGTCTGGGTCCAAGATTTGGTGGTGGTGGTATTGCTGCTCCCTTATTTGCTGCAAATGGGTTAGATGCAATTTTTCCTGCTTTGAATGCTGCTGTCGTTGCATCAATAAGATTTTGTGCCTGTTCTTCCATCCATTTCTGATAGAAATACTTGACATTGTCCTTGTGTTTACGACCCTGACAATGGGTCTTGCGTACACTCGGTGAGTCGTGCGTCAGGTACGTGTCACAGTAATCACAATAATACTTTGGCATTGCTCGCTTGGATATCACTCACCAAGGAGCTTTAAGAATATTTTATTCAAGCGTCTTGTAGTAGGATGCACAACCGTCCGTAAATTATTTTAATTTTTGTAACTTAAAGAATAACAAATAACCTCAAGCTGTGTGCATCTCTTCTTGTGTTCGATCCTTTGACTATAACAAGATAGGAAACACTACATACAAATTTTAAGAGTCCGATTTGACTGCCCAGTCACGGGGATATATCGACGAGCAAACTAGGCTTCCGCTAGGGGAAAAAGTGGCATAAGAGACAGACACGGGTGTACAACTCAGAGGTTTTTCTTGGTCGATTTGCAGCGCCATTAGTGATAAGGGCCGGTACTAAAACGAGTGCCGGATATCCGGGACGCGTTTGAATTTCGGAACGATTTATAATAGACGAGACAGTGAATGACTGGCGGTTACTGTATGAGATCGTGTATGATAAATTTGAGTTGTAATAAATTTGATATTAGGTGTTCGCAATTTTAAATGTGTTTATTAAATTTATTACATAATATACGTATATTATGTAATAAATTTAATAAACATGTTTAAAACTGCAAACAACTAACATTATATTTATTATAACAAATTTATCACACACGATCCCATACAGTAACCGCCAGTCACTCACTGTCACGCTCAAAATTTAACATGATATAGAGAGACTATGTAATAAATGTAATACAGATTTAAAATTTCGAACTAATAACAAATTTATTATAATAAAAAATTTACCATACACAATCCCACATAGTAGTCACCAGTTACTCACTGTCATGCTAAAAATTTTACATTACATACATACAGTATACAGTCAGTTATTTCCTAAAGTATTTGAAATACCAGAAAACTCTCGTGTTTCAAATAATTTAGGAAATAAGGGACTGTATACTGTATAACACAAACAATACATACGATACATGCATACTACATTCTTCTATACTTTTTTACATAATAGTCCCTAGCCATCTTGCACACACAATCATGCACGCCACATTCATCAAATGACTGCTTTATATCTGAAAAATAAGTGAAAATGACTATAAGTATGTGCACACATAAGTTTCACAAAAATTCATTTATTCTATAATATAAACAAACTTACCCATTTCCTCAAACTGGCTTTCTACAGTCATAGATGACCCTGGATGCATATGGCTAACATCAAATGACTGCTTTATATCTGAAAAATAAGTGAAAATGACTATAAGTATGTGCACACATAAATTTCATAAAAATTGATTTATTCTATAATATAAACAAACTTACCCAGTTCCTCAAACTGGCTTTCTGCAGTCAGAGATGTGCCATCTTCTGGTTGCACCATTTCATCTAAAAAATAAGTAATATTGAAGGGAAAAATACATTTGCATGTAAGTTATATAAAAATAAAACATAATACTTATTCTTAGCCTTTAAAATGAAGTCGTCCTTTCTTGTGGAAAAAATACATACCTGGCTTGAACTCCCTCCACCGCCAAAACGTGTTTTATCCACCGAGTACATAGCACTACATAGAAGTACATGTGTCGAAAAATGCGACTTTAGCACCATTGGTGATGTGACTCGGTAGCTTATGACTGACCACACTATTCTAATGGGAGTTAACAGCCCGTGCTCCTACCATTTAATTTTGGGAGTTAAAAGTGGTAGAAGACTTTTCTTCTGCGCCACTTTTTCCCCTAGTGGAAGCCGAGTTTGCTCGTGGGTGTACAGTACAGGACAGATGCGCAACACCACATTCTCACTAGCGCCTGCTGTGTTGCTTCGAAAAACTAAACATACATTTCATCACTTTTAATCACTTTCATAAAAAATCTTTAGCTTGTAAGTGAGATTATTACAGATGCGAAAATCGGAAAAATATTAATTTTCAATTAATTTAACACTAAAAAGTGGTTCAAAATGTTGGTGTTATTTGAAACTCCAGCTGGATATGCTATTTTTAAGGTCAATATCTTCTTAAAATATTAAACGATGTATAACCTTATTGTTGTAACACGTGTTCAGATATGAGATATTTTTTATTAATGTATAATTACTATATGTATTGCGAATGAAATTGGGAATGCAAAGACAATGTAAATTAAGTTATAACTTAAGGACAAATATGATTTTTTCTTACAGTTACTTGATGAAAATAAGTTAGCGGAAGTAGATAACCTTTTTCAAGACTTTGAAACGCCGGAAACTGCTAGTAAAATGTAAGTAAAATATTGTCTTTAATACTAATTATTTAGAAAATATTTATGTTATTACAATTTAGTATGTAACCGTGGATTTATTAAAATTAGCAGAAATAAATTTATAATTCGAATAATAAAAACTTATGTATACAATATCTCTGTATACATATGTATAATTAACTTGTTATTATATATTTCAGAGTTAAGTTAAAACATTTTGAAAAATTTGCTGATACCACAGAAGCTTTAGCAGCTACTACAGCTGCTGTAGAAGGTAAACTTTCTAAATCGTTAAAGAAGATCCTAAAGAAATATTGCTTTGAGCTTCAGGAACAATTAGCTGTTGCTGATGCTAAATTGGGAAATGCCATAAAAGATAAACTGAGTTTATCTTGCATTAGTAATACTGCTATACAAGAATTAATGAGATGTATTCGAAGTCAAATAGATGGCTTACTTGCTGGTCTTCCAAAAAAAGAAATGACAGCTATGGCATTAGGTTTAGCACACAGTCTATCTAGATACAAGCTCAAATTTTCACCCGATAAAATTGACACTATGATCGTACAAGCTGTTTGTTTATTGGATGATTTAGATAAAGAATTAAATAATTATGTCATGCGTTGTCGCGAGTGGTATGGTTGGCATTTTCCAGAACTTGGAAAGATAGTTACGGACAATGTAGCATTTGTGAAAACAGTAAAAATTATAGGAACTAGAGAAAATACAGTAAATTCAGATTTATCTGATATATTACCAGAAGATGTAGAAGAAAAAGTAAAAGAAGCTGCTGAGATATCTATGGGAACTGAAATTTCTGATGATGATATTTTGAATATTCAACATTTATGCGATCAAGTTATTGAAATTTCTCAATACAGATCACAATTATATGATTATCTCAAAGCAAGAATGATGGCAATGGCCCCAAACTTAACAGTTCTTGTTGGAGAATTAGTAGGAGCTCGCTTAATTTCACATGCTGGTTCATTAATCAACCTTGCTAAACATCCAGCCTCCACTGTACAAATACTTGGTGCAGAGAAAGCTCTTTTCCGGGCATTAAAAACGAAGAAAGATACTCCAAAATATGGTCTAATTTATCATGCACAACTTGTTGGACAAGCTTCGGTTAAAAACAAAGGGAAGATGTCTAGAATGCTGGCAGCCAAAGCTGCACTAGCAACTAGGGTAGATGCGTTAGGAGAAGACAGTAATTTCGATCTTGGAGCTGAACATAAAGTTAAATTGGAAGCCCGTTTGAGAATATTAGAAGAGGGAAATCTTCGTAGAATCAGTGGAACAGGTAAAGCGAAAGCAAAGTTTGAGAAATATCAGAGTAAAAGTGAATATCTACAGTATCCTGCATCTGCCGACACAACTCTTCCAAGTATCAAAAGACGACATTCAGAAATTGAAGATAAAAAGCCACTAAGTGAAGATAAAAAACCACTAATTGAAGAAATCATGACAAAACAGGATGAAGAAGTTCCCAAGAAAAAGAAGAAAAGACAAAATACTGAGAGTGCAGACGAATCAATGATTCACCAAGACGCAATTCAAATAAAAGTAGAAGATGAAATTACTCCAGTAACAAAGAAGAAAAAGAAGAAGGCTAAAGTAGAAATATCCGAAGAAGCTTCTACATCAGTTACGGAAGACCAACAATTAGAAGTCTCTCAAACATTTGATGAAGCATCTGAAGTAACAGAGGGTTCGTTTCGCTTTTTTCTAATCTTTATTATATATTTTAGGTACAATTATTAATATTAAGTGAAACGATAATACTGTAAATTATGGATTTTCTGTTGCAGAACAAACAAAGAAAAAGAAGAAAAAAATTAAACAAGAAGTAGAAAATGAAGATGTTGAAAAAAGTGAAGAAACTACACTTTTTAGTAGCGACACAGTCTCAAGCGAAAAGAAAAAGAAAAAAAAGAAAAAATCTCAAGATGAGTAAATTTGTATAACTAATATGTTTATAAAGAAATAACATTTTATGAATTGTGGTTCATTTATTACTATAGAGAAAGCATATACACTCGTTAAACTTTAATTATTAAATCTTTTTCGAAAAAATTATATATAAATATATATATTTTTTTAATACACATTGTCCTTCGTACATACATTCATAAATTACATTTAAACTACCATTTTTATTTGTTTTGGAAATTATAAAACATGAAATACTTTTTTTACATATGAGTAATTTGTTGCCATAAGTTGTAAGATATTTTCATAGGTAGTTATGTATCTATGTCTTGCAAAATGTATTATTAAAATACGAATTTTATAAAAATCAGGATATAATAAGAAAATAAAATAGAACAAATATACACTGTTGTAAATTATAAATATAAGGAAAAAGAAACAATTATGTATCTTTACACAAACCTTTCTTGGCAAAGGTAAATGTATATAGTGAAATAAAAAATCCGTATAAACGATTTATTTTCGATATATTACAATGAATAATGAAACCTTAAATATGATAATTACAAAAATATTCGTAATAATTTTGTTTAGCTATTTTTATTGAGAACTCAATTTCCTACAAGAAGCAACATTTATAAAAGTAAAGTTTTATATTGCTTACAATAACAGAAGATTAAGAACGTTAATTAGTATTAAAATTTTGTGTTATGATATTTGCAGTGGAACTTCATCATACTCAAGTCAGTCACAGAATTTTATAGCCTATGTTTAAAAATAGTTTCTAGCATTAATGGAATAACAGTTTAATTATATCAATATAACAGTACAGTTTTATTAATACTATGTATGTGTCAAATACTTGATGTAAGAATTGTCTTATATGATCTGGAAAGTTTAGAAATTAATTTATTTTATAATGATTATTATATATTGTACTTTATAAAAATTATCAAATGTACAAATCAATGATTTCAGAGTTATGAATATGGACAAAATACTATAAACTTCATTAAGACATAAAAGACATTAAATGTATTAAAAATACGATACAGAAAAGAATAATACATTTCATTGTGTATATTTAACTTACAGTTCTATCAACTAAGTACAGTTACTTCAAACATACAGTTTTTAACGATATATTTAATCCCTTATTGTTTCTTTTTGTGGAATATTTATTGCAACTATCTGTATCTCCCATTTAAATATTATGATGTTTGTATGTTCTAAAATTATCATAGCAATATTTAAAAAGAAGGTATTAATGGCTGGTACTGTATGGAGTAATGAATGTTTAAAGTATCATTATATGGAACATAATACAATTATATTGTAGAATTTATAGTCTGTTTATAAAAAATCACATCATCTGATTTCAGAATGTATTTATTTTCTTTTACATGTTTCAGCGTACTTTTTTAAAGTTTTTGAAAATAGCTTATACATACTTTTAAGAATTATACAATATAAATTTTAGACTCTAGTTCATTAGAACTTTTATAGTACCTATTTTTATTAATTACGGCTTCAATTTCTTTTAAAATGTATAAGTAAATATGTGAATATATTATTTTCGTTTCTACATAAATAAAGGAATTCATTTTATAAGTCATAATTCAAGTTATTTGTACACTTTGCTTATTGCAAAACATAAAATATTACAAATCACTTAAGAAAGAGAGTATTTTTACTCTTAAGAAATATCTTCTTTCATATAAATGTCACATATAATCAATTTTAATATGTTTGCAAGAGTTAAAGAAATAGTCTTTAAGGATTTGTATAATCATTTTACAATCTAATCAGCTTGTAATAGCTGGCGACTAATTGTTTTAAAGTCTTACAGAAATAGAATAATACGCCCTTGAAAGGAATTTTACGAGTGCTATTCATGAACAAAAAACTTCACATTGCTCGATTGCCTAATCTCTACTATGTGCAATATTGCATTAAAATTGAACATATGTATATAGTAACTGGATACAGAGCAAAGGAAGCCGTAAATGATCTATGAACAGCACTATGTTATACACATACCCAGTGCACTAAATTTACTAACAAACAAAATATGACAAATTTTGTTATGATGAAAACAATATAAATGTACTATCAGTAGCTTTTACATAATCAAAATAAAACAAAAGAAATACATATAGTTTACAGAAGAAAGACATACAGTATTAATCAGACTTTCTATAAAGTTTCAATAAAGGTCTTCAAGTTTTAAGAGATTTCAGTACAGTGTATACAAAAATATCTGTATAAAAATATATAAAAATAATATTGTCTTTAGTTTTCCTCATAAGGGCATATTTAAATTCTACAAATAATAACTTATTGCACATAAGATTCTATAAATGTAAGCTGTGCATGTATAAACTTAATCTACAAGTTTCACCAATTTGTTCTTATTCGTAAATATTATAGCTATATATGTTGTATACTTTATAATTTTTTAAAATACTATACTCGTGCAGTTTTGTAATTTATATATATTATGTATATATGCGCCTGCGCGTGCGCACGTGTGTGTGTGCCATACGAGCAGCGCGCACGCATGTACACACATGTGTACTATACATAAAGTATATGTATATTAACATATAACCATTGTTCTTTCATAGAAATTTATCGAATACTAGTAAAGAGATTCAGTACAGACTTATTTTCTTTCTGACTGCGTGCTTTACTAAACACATTCCAAAAACGCAAGGTTTCATCACCAGCACCAGTTACAATAGCTTCACCATCCGGTGACATTGCTAAATACAAAACCCTATATGAGTGTCCTGTTAATTTTGCAACTTGCGTTAAACTTGGATACTTCCAAACCAAAATTTGATTCTGAGAGTAGCCATGTGTACTGACTAGTTCTGAACTATGTTTACTCCAAGCTAAATTACAAACTTGAGAACCAGTGTCAACGCACTGCATTGGTTGACCAGTTAATGTGTTCCAAAATCTAATACATCTATCTGCTGTACCACCACCAGAGGCTAACAGGCCATGATGATGTGGGGACCATGCAATAGCTTTAACCGCTGCTAGATGTTCTGTGTATGTTTGTATCGGTGAAAGGGAATGTAAGTTCCATACATAAAGTCGATTGTCATTACCACCAGAGGCCAAATATTGATTATCTGGAGACCATTTGAGTCCACAAACTTCTTGCCTATGAGCTCCTAAACGCCGTTCACTGACGACACAAGGAGTTCTAACATCTCTTTGTAATATTAATCTATCTCTGCTACCAGATGATAAAACTTCACCGTTCCAAGCTAATGCTCCAACTCTTGCACTGTGCCCTTGCAGCTTGCTTACTTGTTTACTCACAGCTACATCCCAAACTTGAATATAGCCCAGATGTGTGCCAATTGCAACTAAATTTCCTCTTTCATTCCAAGCAACTGACGTTACGCTATTCCCATCACTGGAGAGATCACATAGTCTGGTCACCTGACTTGTACACGCAGACCATAAGTAGACACAGCTACCCAAGCCAACACTGAGAACATTTTGAGATGACCAGTCGACAAGATTCAAATAAAAGTCATCTTGCAATTCTGGTGCATCAAGCACCTTAAAAGGTAATCTTGAAATCTTTCTGGTTGCTTTCCTGGGAGATCTTAATAGCTTTTGACTTTTAGCACTCAGTGGTGACAAAGAATAAGGTGAACTTTGATCTAATAATGTATGATCTTTCGTTGGTGTAGTATATTTGAAAAGGTTTTTCGTAATTAATGGTGATAGTACTCTTCGTTCTTCGCATTGTCCTTTCACATCTTCTATACTAGCACCAAGTAACTCATTTTTCAGAAGACAGGAATAAGCAATACCGTCACGACTGCCTTCTCCATTCTCACGAGCTTTTTTTGTAACTATGCCGTTTCGATTGTTTTCCGATATCATTGAAAATGTTGTTTGCCAATTATTGCCAGATCTCGTTGGTATAAATCGGTCGAAACTATTATTCACCATTTTAGTCGGTGAAAAATATACCGATGAGTAGAGTCCGGGACCTGCCAGATTATCTATATGGCTTTCGATGTTCGACTTCAACAGCCGTTTCTCATATTCGTGGTGAAACATTTTTTTACGCTACAATCTCTCACGTTTAGTCACATAATTATGCACCTCACAAGGGTATTTTTTCGTTAAATCACTTAGATTGCATGTCCATTGTCACATCCATGATAAAACCTTGTATACAAGGAAAATCAACCAAATTAGGCTAGTTAGTCGTTATTCAACGTCAACTTGGAAAATTTTCAATACGGAAATACTAAGACAGAACGAATGTGATTCACCAATCGAAACGTTCATTTCGAAGCTAGTGCGAAGGGTTGGCTTTGGAAAACAGTTGGGGAAACGTCTACGTGAAATAGTATTGAAGCGTCTAGTCAGTAGACGTCGCTACAATCTGTATGGCGCTTCTTTTACGTTGTCGCGGACAATTTGAAACATTTAATTTTTCTTACACTGTTCTTGTTTATAACATTCTCTTAGTTACTATCGAAGACTCCAGACCTTATAAAAATTGTAAAAACTATCCATTATAATACGTCATTAAACGCTAATTATTGTTTGAAAAATGTTCAATAATTTCCGGAAGTTTTCAAGAATAAATTTGAACAAAAATAAATTTCTGTTGCAAAATAGGTGATCCCACCGTGATGTAACTGAAAAAAATTTGTATTTTGCCGATTGAAAGATCTCCAATTCAAAATACTTCAGGTATATAGCGAAGAATACCGACAAGAAAGATTTTCCGAAAACTAAGCATCAAAGCAAGAGGATTTCAATACTAATACAGCATCAATATTATTAAAATTATGATCGTCTTGGAAAGAAAATCCCAAACTATGGTTTACACAAGTAGAAGCGGCATTTTCTTTAGTTTGAATCATTAGCATTTTTTTTTAAGCCGTGGTATCACCGACAAGGTATAAGAATACACTTTCCATCTTATGGGAGTGATGGCCCATCTAAACTGTAGTACCAACACCTTACAAAGCCTGTAATTTTAGTGACCTCTACCAGCATCGATTAGGTATAGAATAGACCTATCATCCAATGCTTTTTTCTGTCCCACGTTCATAGGGCTACGTAGCCTTGTTACCATTTTAGTGTCAATATCCAACGTTACCAAAAAAGCATGAATTCTGAGTGTTATTAGCACAAATGAAGTGTTATATATTCCATTCATATTACGTGTATCTATATGATTTCACGAGAATAAAAATATCCGATGCTTCAATTTAAGGTTAAGGGATAAATATGACAGTCATGAAACATGAAACGGAAAAGTATATATTTTTTCACTTAACTACAAGACAATTTATTCTACATGCATCGTTAATGGACATTTTTGTTAATGTTACTTTTTACATGTTCTTGTTTTATTCGTTTTTATATCTTGCCTTACATTTGTATATTTGTAACAGATAAATTCAGAATAGATGTAAGTTTCATAAATAGTTTATCAAATCTATATGTGGGAGAATGTATACACCGCATTCATTAACATCTACATATTTATAATTTATATGGGAGTGTGAATAGTTTTACTGCCTATTGTAAGAATTTTAATACGCACGAACAATTACTTTCTGGCAATTGGTAAATTTTTACATATGAATTTACTTACACGTTATTTACTTCCAAAAATTTTATTTATTGCGAGTAATTAAATAATGAACGTATGTTAATATTCAGCTACGTGTCTCTCAAATTAAGTGAAATACAGAAGTTTTATTTT